ATGAAAAAACTGTACAGTGATGAGTCCAACCAGGAAGTTTTTTATGAATTTTGTAGGCCCTGTTGTGATACGCCAACAGTGTAACCCAGAGGTCACAAAATATGACAACTGTTGTCATATATTGTGACTTCACTGTAGCTTGGGAAATAGTAAAAATATTTATTCATAAGCTGATTCTACTAAGTGTTTACATCCTCTAATGTCAGAAAAATAACTTCTGATCACTATCATGTTACTTCTACTATTATTAATACTATATATGATAATAGCTATCATATTATGTGACCCTGTACTAATTTAATAACAGTCACCATGTCAGTGATCAAAAGTTATTTTTCTGACACTAGAGGATGTAAACAATTAGTAGAAACAGTTTTTGAATAAAAATCTTTACTAGTTCCTTAGCTACAGTCAAGTCACAATATATGACAGCTGTCATATTCTGTGACCATGTTTAACAGTCAACAGTTTTTGTTTTTTTCTTGTCTTCAGCCTCTGGCTTACACTGTTGGAGTATCATATTCTTCTTTGTGGCCATGTTCGGCCAAGTTCTGTTGTAGAAACGCAACAGCGCCCCCTCTGGTCACAATATATGACGGTCACAAAATGTGGTGTAACACCGGCATGAACAGCACTGAGATTAAATGATGGCTTTACATGGGGGGAAATCATTACATTAGATTAAAATGGTTTTCAAACAATATTATCGTTTATTACAATCATTTCTCAATTCATTACGGCGACAGGCCWATCTTCTAACTTAAAGGAGATGAACTTCTGTATTTTGTTTCCTTAAGTCCAAACAATCCTGCTATCTCATCATTGATGTAGGATCAGTGACTCAGCTGTCACTGTCAGGAAGTCGATCAAACCTCCTCCTCCTCCTCGTTGCTGTAAATCCTCCTGGTGTCTGTCCTCTCCTGCTTTCTTTCTTTCTGACTCACTCTCTCCATCCTCTGAATCCATTAATCACCTTCAGACAAAGAGCCGTTAAAAAGAACTCAAAGGTGWTTTTCTTTAGAGTTCCCACTCCCTCAGCTCTGCCTCTTAAAATTAAACGTTGCTCTCCATCTCCTCGCCCTTCCTCCCACTGAGAGCGACGTTTTGCTCATTTTCTGCATGGTTGCGTCTGGCCTGAGCGTCTAACTGCACCTCTGCTTCTTTTATCTTCTGCTGCAGAAAGAGTCTGAAAACAGCTGAAAGGTTTCAGCTGATACGTACCTTATACAGTGCAGTTAAAGGCATGTCGTCCATGTCGATGTTTGCTGTTGCTTCTGTGCGCTGCATCTGTTTCCACAAAGTTCTCCTCCCCATTCCAACAAGACTCCTCTGGAAGTCGGAGAAGGCCATTTTTACTAGGGCTGTGTATTGGCAAGAATTTGGCGATACGATACATACCATGACAAAGGGGTCACGATACGATATATCCCGATAT